CAGCTAGGGCCCCGCAACTTTTCTCGAGGGGCTGTGCTAGAATCGTAGGCAAGAGCAGGGCCAGAAAGGCCTGTCAGGAGGCCCCGCGGGCTGGGCAGGCCGAACTGCAAAGGCGGAGGCCGGAAAGGAAGGTTCTGGGGTTGGGAAAAGGCAAGCGGGCTTACTGCCCGACTCCAGGGGTCGAGCGCCGAGCCTGGCCTGGTCCTTCAATCCGGCTTCCGAGGTGTCAGCGGCCGGAGCGGGACACTCACCCTGGCGTTCGCTGGGGACACAGGCCGCCGCCCTGCAGCGCAGACGGAGCCGGCACAGAGAGGACCAGCTACATCTGTGGGCCGCAGCGGCGGCGGCCAAGCCCGGTAACATCCTGGCGGGGCAAAGGCCCCTACTCGGACACCGCCTCCTGCCTCCGCGCCGCAGCCGGCACCAACTGACTCCATACACAGGTCACCAGCAAACACGCACGCCTGCGCCGCTGCAGGCAGCTTAAGTGACCGGAAATGGTAACGTCACTTAGCGACACCCGCCGCCGAGGCAGCGGAAGTGACGTAGCTCGGAGCGCGAGTCGCGAGGCTCTGCGTCCGAGAACCTGGACCCGGCGGCACGGTGAGGGTGTGGGTGCAAATGTATAGTTTGTGGATATCTGTCCTGTCTCCCTCCGCACCGGTACTCTTACACCTTCCTTTGAAATCATCGCGTAAATTGTTTGCCTCTTCACAGCCAGGAGAGCCTTGGGAGAAGTGATAGCCTCTGGGGCCTCTGCATGCTTCATTTTTCTTGGCTCGAAACCTGGGCCATGTGTTGGGAACAGGAGGAAAAGTGGGAAGGACGTACGCTGGTCTTCTGAGTTTCTCTGCGGAGCCTTCCCGGATAAGCGCAAACGGAGGCCAACGTGTCCTCCGTACTCGCCGAACCTTTAACAAAGTACATCGTTCTTTGCCTGTAACACCGTTATGTACCCGATAACATGAAGGCAAGTATCCACTTCGGAATAAGTTAGTTGCCCTTTTATTAACCTCTGAACCTCGGATTCTCGTCTGTAATACAATAGAGTAAGACTTCTATAAATTCAAGATCTGTCTTGGTAATCGAAGATGTGCAGACATCGAAACAGGAGCCAGTCTGGTCCTAGAGAGAGACCAGAACAAGATTCACCGGGGCGTTAATTGTGTTTATCTCTGGCATGCTCGTTCAGCTCTTAGTTCAAACTCAGAAGAGGACTTCGTGGACCACGCTTGCCGTAGTAGGCCCGGTTATTCTCTGCCTTGTTGCCTTGTATACATTTCTTCAAGACGCTTATCACTACTTGAAATTATTTTATTTTCTGTCTCTCAGAATAGAAAATAAGCATCTTGTGTTTTGTACATTGCTGTTTCCCAAGGGCTAAGCCAGTGTTTGGCACAAATAAATTGGTTTGTTTTATTAAAAATGAGTCGCTTAACTAGATTACTACACAGTAACTTTCAAGGGGAAACAAATTAACATGTTCCTAATTTTAAGAGAATCAACAGTCTTTTATGCTGATTGAGATAAGCACAACCAGGTTGATGACGTCACGGTGATTAAATTATCACATTGATAAGCAAATTTAAGTTCCTGAGACAAACATAGTTTAAACATTAAGTGGTTAAACTTAATGCTGTTCCATAATGCCGTTCCAAACTTAAACGAAAAATGCTGTTCCATTAAGTACTCATAACTTTGAGATGACTCAAATCTGGTTACTATTAAAATAGATTTTAAGAAATTCAACTTTTTGATATAAAATATATAAGGGCTTAACTCTTAATTTTATGGTAACTGCAAGTTA